TGTCAAAACAATCTACAAAAACACTGGTTATAATAAACTTATTATAATAAATGTATTAACATTTTATTGATACATTAATATTATTATTATTATTACTATTATTGTTGTTGTTATTATTATAATTGATAACACAAATTTTGTGTAACAAATCCCAAAGCTCCGATGACTATCGGTACGATCTACGCTTTTATGCCCCACATTTGCCCCACATTATTATTATTACTTGAATGTATGCAGGCAGTAAATGTGAAATCCAGAAAAATATTGCAATTTGCAGAAGTACAGAAAAGGAAATACAGAAAGTATTTCTATATTTTTCTTAAAATTGTCAGAGTATAAGTGGTATAAGAAGTTGGATACTTTCATTACTTTTTCTTTGTTTATTTTGCATTGTATATGTATTCGTGCATTTGTTGTCTTTACTCAAGATTTTCTCTAACAACTTTACAATTACCATTTATGTCACCAGAGAAATTCGAATTAGAAAAATTCTAGAAGGAATTAATTTTACTGGTCCGATGTATAAATAGTAGATAAGAACACCCTTCTGGCAGAATGGGGCTGTTCCCAGAACCAAACCATAAAGCAAAAACTGACTTCTCAGCACCGACGCCTTGCTACAAGACCATAATCTCCGCCGATCCTTCTGACCACACAATAGTAATAGGGATAATGATATGATTCGTTCCTCGACTGGCCACAATGACAGTTGAAGTCATGTTCGCGCAGTAAGTAGTTAGTGCAAAGCAAATAGTACCACTGGTGGGATTATTCTAATTGCTTTGGTGAGCGCGGAGGATGGGCTTTTATGTGCAACAATCAATAATCAAAATATTCGTGGCCTTGTCTTTCTATTGGTATAAATGAGAATAATCTTCGTGAGCAATTTGATCTCAATGAACTATTTAAAATTGTTCTATGTGTTAAGCTATTCTCAGAAATGAACTTATATTTAAAGTTCGAAGTATGTTTCCTTTATCATGTCCTTACTTTTATGTCATATTTTCTTTCGCTTCAAGATAATACTCTTATGTCGCTCCCTTCACAGTTAAAAATAGTTTTAGTATGTTATAAACTGGTCAATTATATTTTCTGACCCTTTTTACATTTCCATATACGCATGTATATACGGAGAAATATACATAGTATGGGGAAAGTTATGAAATGTTGCGGACAATCAATTTCGAGATTTCAAGGGAAATACACATTTTACGATCCCCTGCAACAGAAAATGTGATGTTTTTTTTAAAAAGCACGTCCGTCCGTCCGTCTGGTGTATGTGAACAACACTATCGCCTAAACGATGCATAGGATTTATTTCAATTTGAAGAAACCCCAGTCCATTTGGCCTCATTCAAAGCTCTGAGATTTTGAAAATCATTATCATTTTTGGGGGTACTTTACATGAAGCCCCTGAGACATTTTCAAAATTTTCTCAATTACGGCTCCAAATTTTTTCTTTAAAATTTTTGTAAGAATAGAGTCAAATACACTTATAAATGTGGCATAGTTGCATTTTTCACTGGTAATTCTGTATTTTCAGAAATTTCAAAAGTTTGAATTTTTTAGTGTCTTCCTCCAACTACAAAATTAAAGATAGAGATTTTTCCGTCAAATTAAATGTGTTGTCTATAATTTGATCTTTCATTAAGGTCACGTACACTTGTTTTTAAATTTAGTACTTCTCGCACAATTTGGAGTGAAATTCGTGCAATTTTAAAAAATTACAAAAAAAAGATTTTCTCCAAAAGATCCAAGTTTTTCCTTTAAACTTTTGGTAGGGCTAGTACTAAATGCACTCTACGAGTAGGCATCAACGCCATATTGATGTATTCTTTTGTTTTTTCAAAAATTACAAAAATATAATTTTTCGACTTGTCCGTCTCGTTGTTAATATTTACACTAGCGGCAATATCTTTGCATTAATGTATTTCTGAGAACATGTGCTTAAAATAATATCCGATAAAGTTTCCTTAAAACACAACAGTTGTCCGAAACAATGAGCGCAAAATTCCGCATTTTCAGAAATGCTCAAACGCCATTTTCTCATAAACGGCTCCAAATTTGTTTTCCAAACTTTTCCATCACACAATGCTAATTGAACTGTTGAGTTGAGAATTGACATAGAATTAAGTTCACTGTATTCATTTGTTTTGTTTCAAAAAATTACACATATGTAATTTTTGTGAAAGAGCTCTCACGCCTTTAATATGCACATTTCCAGCAATTTGTAGACACTTGTATTTGTGACTGAAAGTACTATAAATGTCGTCATAGGAAGCTTTTCGAAAACTGAATATTTTATATGAAAAGTGGTTTAAATTTCACAGTAACATTTAAACACAATTTTCTTAAAAACGGCTCCAATTTTTCAAAGATTATTGCCATTGAGGACGAAGTTTTATTGTTCTTCATTATTCTCAAAATAATATTCCTGTTCTACTATTAGGAAGCCAGAAAATTAAGAAATATTTTTTAAAATGTTCTTTGGGCGGCTATAGATGGCAGCAGGCAAGAGTATATCCGCAACAAGTCCGAATAGCTAGCCAAGGCTAATGGAAATATATAACAAATACTGTGCCATTCTGTAGCACCACTAGTTTAAATTTCCGAACAATATACTGCTTTGAAAATAGTAGTATATAAATTAGCAATCAATACTATTAAAACTATCAAAATTCAATTTTGCTATTAAATCAGTTATTTTAAATAAATATATTTTTCTGGAAGTCAAATATTGCAGTTTTGAATTTAAACTGTAGATCTGCTTGATCCAGTCTCCGTTTATCCTAGTAGCACTTGTTGCAGATGCTACAGGCCCCCCGCTTTCTGAAAAAAAATGTCTCACTATTGAAGAAAAAAGTTTTGCCGATGTGCAATATGTAAACTTACTGTAAAAACAAATGTTTTATAAATATTGAAACAAATGTTTATATAAATAAATAATCTTAAAGATAAAAAATATGTCGTACGACATAGTGTGTTAGTTTTAAAATGCAAACGTTTGAGATTTATTAGTTTGTTATGATAGTTTTTTAGTGCATAAATTAATATCAGAAAAGGATCAGCTGATTCTATTATGTTCGTATTTATCGCGGAAATGTTTCTTTGAGTAGTCAAGCTCTATATGCACGATTTCAATTCCGATACCGAATTTATAACGATTACTCTTATTTCAATAACATAAAAATTTTAAAATCGTCCAAACATAATTCAAGCTTTAAGTAGCAGTTTTGTAACCTTATTGAATCACCAGGGCCATCTCAAAAGTTAGTTACACTATTTAAAACAAAAACAAAAAATCAGAAAATTGAAGAGGTTTTATTTTGCAAATTACTATTTTTCTACATAATTCCCTTGCAATTCAATACATTTTTTGCACCGTGGCAACAGTTTTATTAACCTAGTGTCAAATCACTCTCCCGCCAAACTGGCAAGCCATCTCCCCCCTTCTTTCAAGTCATTCTCACTTGCGAAGCGTCTTCCCCCGAGATGTTGCTTGATGAGATGGTGCAAGGTCCGAAGAATATGGGGGATGACTAACGTTTTCCTGGAAGAAGACGAATAAAAGCACAAACTTCGCAATAGGCGGCCGATAGGAACAAGTGGAGTGTGTTGCTAGTGCGTCACAGCCAGAGCGGTAGTGGTTGAAGCGTAGAAATTTTAGTGTTGCGACTCATTCCAGACAAACGTTGCCTGAGATTTCCGGTCTTTTCCCCCCTACCGCGTGGATTTAAAAATAGTGTTACTTACTTTTGCGATGTATTTAAAAAAACAAAATATTTAAATAATTATTATATACGAATATATGTAATATAATTTTTACACATATTACGTAATTACATATTATAATGTTATATAACTGAAATATATAATTGCAGGTATTGTCTCCAATTAATTTAATATATATTCAAATGATTGTGAAAATTATATAGATCTAAAATCAATGCCACTAATATCGAGAAATTAATAAAGTATCACGAATATTAAGGTTATTGAGTTTTGGAATTTTTTCGCCAAGTCGGGCGCTATGAATATATATCAGGTTTCTATTGTCTAAATATCGCAACGATAAGCTAAACGACTGGTGTAAACAAATCTAACGTAACATGCATTGCTTGGCACCAAATATCGAAAATATATGTAGTTTGCAGTGAAATGAGACTTTCAGGGTATAAAAAATAAACTCAATTATAGATAAATATTTATTTGCAAAAAGTTAACAAATAACAAGTGCATAACTACGTGCATAAATACTATTGCATTGGACGGGCGTACAAAGAGGAGGAGGATAGTGAATTTCGTAATTAACTCCTCCGTTATTATTCCTACTAGATTTTGGAATCAGCCATTCATTAATCACGTATTTAAACATTGTATAGTAAATACTATACCTGATGTATCGTAAGCTAAACTTGACATTATAATCGATATGATTAGTTATAAACGTAATATTGCCTGAAAACATCATGCTCGTTAATAATGTCCGAGTTAATATTTAATATACAGCTGAATTATTTTCTACATGAACTATCACAATACTTCTGCCAGAGTTATTAATCATAAAAATGATTCACTAAGTATTGCGAGTATTTTCAAAATTCCATTACCTCAAAATGTTTGTAAGAACATTCATTTCTTATGGGTTTCAATGTTTTCTCAAAATTTTTGCCAAAACCTGTATTTCTAAGGAATTTTAAACGATGGCCAGAACATTTATATCTCCTTTCAATCCCCATCCTCCTGCTCGCGTGCGCCCGCCCGCTCCCCCGGGAGGCTGCGCGCGGCGGCGTGCGCGGCGGCGCGTGGCGGCTGCGGGCCTTCCGGGGGCTTCGACCGTCAAGGCGGGGCGGGGCGGGCGGGGCCGGGGCGTCTCCGGACAGCGAGCCCGGGGCTCCGGGCGCTGGAACCGCGCCCGCTGCCGCCGCGGAGAAGTCAAGCGAAGCGGCGGCGGCGGCGGCGGAGAAGGAGGGGCCGGCCCAGGCGGCAGCTAGGCCGCCTCACTGCTGCAGATGTGCCAGCCCCTGCGCACAGAAATGGAATATTAAGATTCGACGGAAAACGAACATTTGGCTTGCGCAAAGGGGAAGTGGAGCGAAGCGGTGGCGGGGGGTTGGCGGAAGTGGCGAGGATTCAGGGCTGCTGATGTGCCCAAGCGTGGGTTCAAAAAATGCAAAATGTGGGAACGTTGAAAGGAGAAATTCACAATTCAACCAAGACATTGATTTGGTAGTGAACTTTTTTTTGCGTCTCAGTCGACACAAGCCATGCCATTGAGCACTTTTTAAGAAGTAATTCTCCATTAACATACTGATGATACTTAATGGAAAATGGTGAGTAAACATATTACACCAGAATAAATATTACAAACGTCTAGGGCATGTAGAAAGATCGAAAATTATTACTTTTTGCCTATGAACATATAGTAGAAAATTGCATATAATGGAATTTTATGCATTTATGGATGTGGCATTTGCCTCTGGTTTTTAGACAATCTCTATGTATAGATGTTCGGTAGGAACATGAAACCCTGTATGGAACGTGACGTGCCCAACATTACGCATAAAGAGTTGCCTAAATAGCAGGGGGAAGTCCGATAAATAAAATTCCCCACATCATCATTCACAAAAAGCGATCATTTTCGATCTCGCCCAAGTTGTATGTGAGTGGCCGTGAGCCGTGCACGCAGTTGGACGGCGCGCTGGGTGAGCACGGGCGTGGGACCCACCTGCGCCTCCGCGAGGTGCGCGTGGTGCTGCGCGTGGTGGCGCACGCGCTGCTGGTGCTTGGCGAGGTGCGCGCGGTGCTGGCGCAGGTGGTCGGCGTGCGCGGCGCTCGGCCCCAGGGGCTGCTGCTCGTGCACGGGCGCCGGCCGCGCCGGCTGGTGCACCTGCACCACACGCTTGTTATTATTATTATTATTATTATTATTATTATTATTATTATTATTATTATTATATTATTATTATTATTATTATTATTATTATTATTATTATATAAGGGTAAAACCCATGCGCTACACGTGTGACGACAAATTGGTGTGGACGGCAAACTCTTGGGAGGGAAGCTTCGCTGGTTCGAGTCTTGGTCAGTGAATAGTATTTGTTACAATTCTGTTACAGCAGAAAATATTTGATAATTCCAGAAACTTTATTGAAAACAATTTGAAACAATTCTAATCACAAATAGAATTAATTAAGGCAAATAAACTAGAAGAGTCTGTATGTTACCATCGAATTTTCAACTTCTAAACTATGTTCCACATATCTTACAAATCAATCGTCTTACGGTGCTTATGACCATTATAGAAGTGCCGATGATCTATATAACGCGGGTGGTGAAATGTCAGGTTCGGACTCCATTCGAGACTGTCTCTTGGATAATTACTTATCACAATTCTCTGTTCCTGTTGAAAAATATTGAGAATTTCAGAAGCTTTATTGAAAATTATTTGAAGCAATTCTACTCACATATACAATCTGTTAAGATTCGAATTAAACCCAAAGTAGCTGTATCTCGTTTTCGTATTTTGAAATTTTAAACAACTGCACAACATTTTGTTTTATTTTTAAAACTTATGTCACATCAAATCAATTGTTCAATACAAAATGCATATCAACGGAACGCAAATATGTGGAACGCGAGAAAGTTGTGCTATTACTACATACTACATGACTACACTACAAGAGTGCTACATTGCGAGAAAGTATGTGCTATGGCATACCACTAGTTTCAGTAATAGTGACCCACGGCACGTCTACAAATTAAAACTTGTTGAGAGCTGTTTTACATTTCAAAGATGATCATTAGTATTTCAGTTCTGATGATTCAAAAATTATTTTAGTTTTCCCCTCACGTCAGCTTTTTGACAAATAAAAATTGAAAAATTCAACTATTTTTAAAAACAATATACAATGACGATTTGTATAAGATCTACAAATGAACTGATTTTTTTATAATGAAATTTCACATTTCAGTTCCCTTTATAAACAGCAGATCAGTAATATCTTGTTAGTGTTTGGTATCGAATGTTAGTCACTTGGATTTTCTATTGTGTTTTCCGTCAGTAATTTAGCAGTAATCTGCAATCATGGATGCATTAAATTGCCCTTTGTATCTCCTTTGTATTTCACGAATATTCCGATGGAACGTGTGTCTTTATTCGTCACTGATGGCCTCCAGTTTGACAGGAACTACGTCCAAATGTGAAAACAGACAGTGTAGTTTGAGACTCCTGCTTACCCCAATGTTTTCAAATTCTGTAGCATTATTTTCACAATGTTGACATGGCAAGTATGTTTATTGTTTCTTAGAAAACTGTCCATAACTTCTTTAAATGCATTCCAAGCATTTTTCCCTTTGGAAGTCACAGAAGCTTCAAATTTTCCGTCTTTAGCTACAGTTCACATTCCACGACCCACAAAGATTCCTTTTTTAATTTTAGCTTCTGTTAAAACAACAAATTTGTCACAAAGGTATTAGATAACAATCACCATCTTGGTCATGAGCTTTTACTAATTATTTCTTAATAGCGTGTTTGATATTCAGACACGGCAATATGTTTCTTGGGATTCATATCCTTCATTATGTTCTTACTACCTTACCTATTTTTTAAATTTATTTATTTGATTGTTTAGTACATCTCACTACCTGGTGTTCAAATTATTCTCGGTCATTTTCTCTGTTTCCAAAATTTGTCTGTTGCCCTACTATCCCACTAGCACAAATAACATGGATATTTTGTGAATCCCTGTTGCTGACCCAATATCGTATAAATTAATTTCAGATCTCTACACAACAACCATTGATGTTCAAGGTATTTAATTTTCTCCAAAATATAATTCAAACTTTCGTAATTTTCCTTCAGCTGCACTCGGTTTGCTGCTGAAAATGAAGACAAAGCATTACCATTGTGTAGCAACACGCGCTTTAGATTTATTTTACAAGAATCGAGGAATAGTATGTAATCACTTCGATCATATTTAACAGAATCTAGTCTAATTATTAAGCCTATTAAGTTATTACAGTTCACTAGATTTTCTGAAGTATTTTTACTGATGTATTGCAACAGTTATTTTTCTTTATTCCTGTAGAAAGTCACTGACGTATTTGTTGGCAGTAATTTGTTTTCCTATAATATGGAAGCTAACAGATGAGTTTGCCTTGTGATGATTGTTGTAGCGCATTTGATGTTTCAAGAACGAAGTCCGCCATCTTGATAAAACCAGTAGGTCTTAAATCCGCGAAGACAGGAGATGATGGGGAAGATGAGTTTCCTGAAGGCAGACTGCAGATGGACTATGGCAAGAGATTATCAACCTCAATTCTATGGATGTGATCGGACATTGTTTAAGTTATTACTTTTGTACCTTTTTTTTATTTCTCCCCTTCGGAGAGTTGGTACAGGAACTCCCGTGGTGTTCCTCGTTAACAACAGAGTCATCCTGACTCCTGCAGGAGATGACCGCCTGTGTTGGGAGAATTTCATGTTTTCTGACACAGGTGACCGAAGTCCACGGGGACTTCAGGTTCGCTCAAGGTGAGTCTCGGAAGTAGAAAGCAGTGGATGGGACTTTGATGATAAATTTTTGTTTGGAGGGTGATGTTTGACCGGCTGGTGACGGTGGCTGGTGACGTTTGTTGCTAGATTTTTTGTACTGTATGGGTATTATCACATTTTGTCCTTGAGTGCACGACTTATCTTCAGGGAAGTCTGTAGGCAACACTTGACAACTGATGTGCGCTTCCAGAGTGGAAGCACGTTATATTTGGCAATTTGCTGCTACCCCCGAGAACATAGTCTTTAGGACGCTAGAGAAGAATCGTGATAGATCTACTGGATTTCTAGCCTGATGGCGAACATTGAAGGATTTATCTCCTTAGCTTTCAAGGGTCAAAAAATGCGCTGTGAAATTAAAACATAGTCGTTCATCGACTGAAGCACTCAGAACGTCCAAAACTCTCAACGATCGACGAAATTATAGCAAAATATTACAATGCCGTACTCCATGATCGCTAATTAAAGGTACGTGTGCTGGCAGACATTTCAAAGATCTCCACTAACCGTGAGAATTATATTTTGCATGAATGGGTATGCCAATGATTTTGACACGATGGGTATCGCCTTTGTTAACTGACCAAAATCGTATTCGAATGAACATTTCTGAACAGTATTTAGCGTTTTTTAAATGCAATTCCGGTGTGTTTCTTCAACATTTCCTAACAGTAGATGAAACATGGATTCATCATCACACGACAGATAGATAGAAAGGAACAGTCCAAACAATTGGTAGATGAAAATGAAAGAGCCCCAAATATAGCAAAAATGAAGAAGCAGAAGGGGCAAACGATCATTGGGGAGTATTATACTTCATTTATGGCCTAATTGTAAGTTACTATTAAGATTAAACGCCCGCATCTTTCAAAGAAGAAAGTTCTCTTCCATCACGACAACCAACACACAAAGGAATTTAAATTTATTTCTCAACAATCTACTTACTTTCGAATAACGACTTTCCAACTAAATATCCAATTTAATCTCTCAGTAAAATAAAATTTGTCCAACCCTGCAAAATAAACATCTCAGCTTCAACCTCATCATTTGATGTGAACCTCAGTCACGCAATTCAGTTTTTCAAATTTGTAATCAGAAGCATACATACATACGAATTATATATGTACTATCTTATACTATTTGCCGCTGTGAAACTCTAGAATAAAGACTTATTGCCCTTTATTTATATTTTGTAGGTCTGCCGCCTGTAATTGAAGTTTAAAATATATTATTAAATATTTATATTTCTTCGTATTAAATTAAATATTTGATGTTTCTTATTACCAGTTTTCAAACCAAAATCTACTCAAAATTAAGGAGAAATGACTATTTTTTGACCAAGAAATAATTAATACCTCTATTTGTAAGATAAGTAAACCAAACTCGTGATATGTCTGTTGTAGGGAATTCTATGTTACAAAGAAATTCGTTACAAAGAGTCTACACTTTACGTAATAGTAAAGGTCGTTGGTGTACCTGCGAGTGGGAGTGCGAGCGGCCGTGGCCCTCGACGCTGGAGTGGCTGCGGCCCTGGCCGTGGCCGCCGGGCTGCGGGAGGCTGGCGATCTGCGCACGCCCGCACAGCCTTAGCACTGCTGCTGCCGCCCAGCGCAGCATCACTCTATACTTGGATTTTTATACCGTGGCACTTGATGTCGCTTGAGCGCGACCGTATCAAGCAGTGCTTGCGATCATGCGACATCTAGGGGCACGACCGAGACAGACGCGAAATGCCGTGAGATATTCCATCGTAAAGACAGGGCTGGAAGTGCCTCGTTATACAAACACAAGTATAACCTCGGAGGTCTTTCAACAGATCGGAAGTGGGAATACAGAGATCGCTGACGAGTTAGCTAAGAATAGCCGCGTGTCGAGGTAACATTTTACGCTTGTCTGGTAACTAGGCAACTAGGAGGACTGTTCCATTCTATAATCAAAAAACTACTACACTGTAAACAAAAATTAATTGACTTTTTAAGATGCATTTAGTTTAATGACTTGCTCTCTGAGGACTATGTTGTATGAACCGGAGAATAGGAATTATAATTGACTAACAAATTTCAATCTGTAAATGTTTGATGCGCAGTTAGGCGATAATAATCAACATGGATATTGATCATTATGAAAAATCTAGGTAAAAATTATATTTGGAAACTGTCAAATTGACGAAAATGTTTTCATTGATTAATATAATGAATATTGTTTTCACACTATTGTCCATAAATGTCAGAGACATGATTTACTATATATCTAAGGTGAAATCTAATGTTTTAACTCCCAAATCCACATTTCTCCAATACAGAACAACGAAGAATTGAGATACTGAAGCAAAGGAAATTGTTTTTGTAATTGAATAAATTAATTTCTTTTGAATCTGCTTGTCGCTAAAAGGGAAACAGAAACGAAAAGCTCCTTTACTTTAAATAAGTCTTTCAAGAAGTAATTCCATTTTTTAATATAACCCCCAAAATTAAATGAACGTGTAAGCAACAATAATGATAGCGGATCGATCATTATAAAGAAACGATTTTTTAAATAACTTTTTATTGTACGTTTTTTGTTTGTTTTTCTATTGAAAAACTTTAAACCTGACTACGCTTCCCCCTAATGAAAGCAGATCAACTCAACAACTGATCCGTTGCTCTAATTCTCTCATGTTATTTATTCAACACTTTGACGGGAAGAATGTGTTGAATAACTTTTTGCACAATTCTATTCTATTCTATTAATATCTGATAAGTGCAGGTGTTCTTTGAATGCTTATGCGGCAGAGCGCTTGCTTACCTGCGCGTGCGCGGGCACCGGGGGCGGGACGAGCACGCCCTGCTCGTGGCGCCCCTCGTGTGCGGCGGGCGCCGGGGCGGGCGCGCGGGCGTGCTGGCTGCCGCCGCCGACGCCCACGCTGCCTGGCGAGGAGTAGCTGACCTGGGCGCGGTAGCCGCCGGCGTCGGCCGTGTAGTGCACGGTGCGGATGCGGCCGTCGGCGTCGTGGAGGCGGTAGCTGCCCTTGACGGCGTCGCCCTCCCGCTGCTCCTCGTGCATGTGGAAGTCGCCAGAGTGCGGGTCGGCCACTTCGTACGCGTTGCGGTACTGAGGGTGCGCCTGGGGGCACAAGGACTCCAGCAACAGCACGGAAGGCGCACTCAGAGACGTCACTTAGTTCACGTCTAAAATGGATTTTGGCTGCGTTTAGATCAGGGCCAGCATGACCACTGTCTCTGCAGAGCCTCTGGCTGGGGTGTCCTAGGATCCGAGTGCCGGTAATGGTGGATTTTCGACTGTAGCTTTTGTACTGCTAGGTCGAATTCAGCCGTTTCCTGGAGGAGAATTGCAGCAGCCGGCTGCTCTGATCGTTAGTTTGGCGTGGTTAGTTAGTTTATCCGAGAAATACCTGGCGCATGCCAAAGCAGTCCCCTAACAAACGAACCGCGCGCGATCATTCCCTCTCCGTCCTTACCATATCTTCTTCCCTTACTTACACACACACACAGTACACGCACTTCTTACATTAGCAAGCGCTAAATACATCCCGTGTGTCCCGTTGAGGGGGAATCCTCCAGAAGCCAACGTGTAGGTCGGCAGCGGATTTCCTCATTGAGCTGGCGAGGAAACCGACACCTCCACCGATAAAACATCTTTCATTTACAGCTCTAATGACCTTTGCAGTTGACGTACCCGGAAACAATCATCAGTCAATCCTATAACGAATGTCAATTGAGATGTTCTGGTAAAAACAGAGAATGTCCCAGAATAATTGATACAAACTTGTGGGGCATGTAGGGGTCGTAGACGAGTTTGTTGCCAGTGAACACGAAGTGAATTATTACATATAACTCGTGAGATTTCCTCCTTAGGTTGCTGCGGTACACATCATCCACTGCTGTTCGGCAGGTAGATGAAATATCTTGATTGCGTCAGAACGTGACCTCCAAACACTACAGCGACACGCAACCCCTACATGCCGTACACGTTTGTAACATTTATTTTCAGGCATCATTATTTCTGGCATTTCGGTCAAAATACTCGTAGATATTCTTGAATTTTATGTTGGAAAGGAAGTATCTCTCTCTATCCCTAGTAGTTTCTGAATGGACTACAAATGACAATATATTCACTAGTGATTGTATGATGTGATGCTTGCTTGGTGTATACGGTGGTAACATTTCAAAACATGAAATACACAAGACACCATTATTTGCACCGAATGACTGAATTATAAAAATGAAAACTAAGAGTGCTTTCTAAATGATCAGTAAATTTTGTCTAGTTGTGTTTCCAGAGCACTAATGGTATTTATTAAAACTAAAAAAATTAACGATTCTAAAGTAATTCTTGAAATATATAAAACATGTTTTATTCTGAATCGGTGAAAAAACGTATCTACTAGTTAGTGTACGCTCAGAAAATAAAATTAAATCGGTAAAACTCTAAATGAAACCACGCGAGTAACACATCTGTCGCGAGAAATTTCTGAAAGTTATATTTTATGAGTGTAGGGGAGTTGGATGGAGTTGGATAATTTAGGCTCCCCGGAAGAGCCATTAGGTGCCACATGTGGACACTGGATGAAGACAGGAAGTCACATTATGACCACGTCTTTGAAATTTGATAGTCCGGAAGAAGCACATGGACAGACGACTTGCTTTATTCGCACACAAACACATTATGGCTGACGAACGGATATTTTTTTCATTCAGAATTGCGCAATAGTTACCTAGACAAGTATTTTATTTAGTGAAGACAATTTACGACCTACAAGTAGTTCGAGGAAAATATATTAAGACAAACCGTTGAACATTTGCGAGTTTTCGTCATGAAACTGTCTTGAGAATTTCTCCTAGTTGATCAGTAAAATTAAATTATATCGAGTCTTTGAAATAGTCATGACATTTGCATGAAGTTCACATTAAAAATCTTTGAAGATATATTACTCATTTGGATACTCCGTTGTAATGGTACATTAACACTGTTCCAACTTAATCAAGCTAACTATTTAGAGCTATTTGACTCAATAAATAATAAACCTATGGAATATAGCGTTTTAGAAGCAGTTCCTTAATATTTGAAATATGAGAGTATGTGCTTCGAGTATTTTATTTTCATCCCAATTTCCATTTTATTTTTTGCTGGGGAATATTGTAAGGAAGAAATAGTGTTACATTCTCCATTAACTCAACTCGCTTTTTCTTTGCTTTCTCCTACTCGGGAAAGGAAGTTGACATTTCATATTAATTCTCTTTAATAATATCATAGAGGTTATCAGAAAATCTCATATCTGTTCTCACGTTGTTTCACAGATAGCTCATTAGCTCGTAACAAGTTATGGGTGTGATCGTTAAGTCGGATATTACTCTTTTATGCAATTACCTCATTATTTCGGAATACGTAAGACACAAGATTACTGATGGCAAGGTTACAATGAAACACGAAATGTTATTAAATAAGAGAGGAGAGAAATAATACTAGTGTTACACCAATGGATATAATATATTTATAATTCATGGGTTCATTATAGTAAAAAGCATTAAATTAATTTGATGAGAATTGAATTTCCGCGAGGATTGAAAGCAAAGCAATATAATTTAGTACACTTTTAGTACATGCAATGCTTTTCATAAATATTTCCAAATCTCATAATAAGAACTCAATCATTAACTTTAATCGCAATTAATGAGCATAAATTATATTTTCTATAGTTATACAAAATACATATGCAAAATAGTAATTTAAAAACAGTGACAATATTTCACGATAACTACGAAACTAGCCACGGATCAAATCAGTGATGAATCCAAGATCACAAAACCATGTTCACACCAATCCCCTCAACAAGTTTGAAGTTGTTCTTGATTTAATCATAAACTATTACGTAGTAAGTATTGATCTCTTGACACCCTAAGATGTATTGCATTTTCAAATTATATATTTTATGCATCTTATTTAGGGTGTGGTATTCGAAATAAATGTTATCCCCTCTCCCGAAATATTGAATGAATCCGCCGCTGAACTGAATCGAAAGAGGATTTGAAAAACATTGGTATAAGGCATCTGGATTTTACTATTACTAGAATTTTTCGAAGTTTTCCTATACGCTGTAGCTGAAAGTCCTCGTGAATATGCATGTGCTTCGAATGAAGGGAAGTCCTAAATCCGCGCCAGGGCGGAGGGGGCGGGGCACTCACCACGTAATCGTAGCTGTCTTGGCCTTGGCCGTGCGGGTCGCGCACGGCGATCTTCTGCGCCGGGCCCACCACCGGCGGCCCGCTCACCGACTGCCGCGAGTACGAGAAGGCGCGTTCGGCGGCGGACGCGTGCTGCCACACGGCGGCCAACAGCGCAACCAGCGCCACCTGCTGCACACAAGAGGGCGCGCGCTGTTCACCAGCGGGAAGGACGCGGGAGGAAACCCTACTTTCGATGCTTTGAACCATTTTTCTGTACTGCGAGTTGAGGTGAGAATAAATGTGACATGCAGGCTAAGGAAGGAGTGTGGAACATACAGAATATGAACTAAGTTTGCTGGTTAAAGGAATTTTTTTTTGTTGGCTGTTGTTTGAATTTTTAATGAGAATTACTACAATTAATTTATTGTTTTTCTTTTAAATTGTAGTTAGAATGAAAATTATCATTTATTTTCATTAAATTTCAGTCAGATATTTAAAATGAATGTGTTAGCGATTTCACAAAAGATCTCAGAAAATATCAAATGTCTTTCCACAGGAATTCCACAGCATTACATACAAACTATATTATTTATAATAAGTACATTTTAGAGCTTAAATATTATTGAAAATTTGAAAAGAAAATGTTTGTGAATCCGTTCACGGGCACAGTTCACTTCCATACATTTTGCTCTAAGGAAAGTAGCAGAAACCCCCCGAAACATTAAAAAATATGCGCAAGATGCGAAGTCTCCTGGATAACCTAGTTTCCATTGATTCTCTTGAAAATTCTCTCAAGGGTTTAAGAATTCTTCAATAAGACCTTTCATTCGTTCATCGTCATGTGTTAGCATATTTTCAACTGTTGGAATATTTCTATTTTTATTAAACCGTTTATGATCGATATAGTATCTGCGCGAATGCACTCTTCACGTATATTTATGCATACGTTTTCATGGCCGAATGGTGTCTTTAAACCTATTGACTTTGATGAGGAATCAAAGCGTAACATTGTTGGCTACTCCCCGAATCACTAATAAATTTAAATTCACATGGGGTTTTACTGACCGAAAAAAAGCATAAATAAAATTTCAAACCCTCACCATACCAAATCAGAAAAATTACATTGTTATACCACACACAGTGTTAAATGGCTCTAGCGAATGGGTTGGCTAAAACGTGCCCTCTATGAGATTTGGTTTTTATTTCAACAACACTTAGCAAGTTCATGTAAAGAAATTAGATTCTTTATTAGGTTTATTAGTTCTTTGAGAGGTAAATAGTGTTAATTGCCTCATATGAAATTTTAAGTATTCGTATATATTTACAAGTGTATAAATACAGGTTACCTGAAAGAAATCAGGAAATTTTTCCTCTTCTTCATAATGCATAATTCATGATATCAACGATATTTTCAGGAGAAATGAAGAGGGGAAAATTTTGGTTTAGTAACTTGTCAATGCGGCATTCTTAACGAACGAATTTGAAAAATTATTTTCAGATTTTGGTCACTGGTATTAATTTGTAATGCCAGATCGCAGAATTGCAACGTCAACAACAGCAACATTTAAGCCAGTCTTCTGGAGAAGGCTCCTCACATGACTATGGTAACTTTCGAATCTTTGGCATATACATTTCACGCCGACCCTAATTTGTAATCAGATGTTTCAACAATATTTATTGAAAGTGGAGGTAGTAATACAAGATGTCCGCAATTTCAATGATTAATTTCGCACTTCTGGAACTGGAGAGAATTTGTCAGATTGGTTTGTCCTTTGGTGTGTGTGAATGTGTGTGAATACACAATGCTCTCATGGCATGCGTGGTGGGTAGCCTAACTTCCATACGACTCATTCTTAATAATCCATACTATCTCATTAAGCTGACTTCGATGACAGTAATATCATCAAATCAACGTAATTTTCAGTAGTACATCCTTCGTCCCCTTATTTGCTAGGGTACGACAAATTCAAACATTGAAATATTATCAACATTTTCGAATATTTATGATACTTATATGACTGAGGACAATGCTCAAAATTGTAGATATTTAGTAAAAGGTTGGCTTTCAGCTTCTACTCTTAAGTATTACAGGGTGTTTTCGGCAAGATGTAACCTATTTGTAGCTTTGATTACTCCTTTCGTTTAAATTATATTGCCTGAGTTTCATTTACTTCGTAAGGAAACGTAGTAACTTAATATTTAATCCAAAACGATTGTAAACGCTATTATGTTAATGAGAATCAGATATCATTATTCAATATTTCCTTATTTGTTATAGGATATTGTTTACGAAAATAAGGAACATTTATTATAAGCGTATCCGAGCAAAAGGAATTATATGACGAGTGGGGCAGGAAGATACCGTTTAGTATATTAAGAAAATACTTTTGAACAATTACTGCAAAAATCTGCAATTTTTTTGACCATTGTACTCGAAGAAAGATACCCAGAATGCTTTTGCAGAAATTATTTCGTATAAGGGCTTCAAAATCAATGCAATAAATTTGCAAAAGATCATAAGATGTCAATTGACTGAATCATTACTCTTAATATCAAACTTTTCCCATGTAGTTCTAAATCTAGTTTGATCTTGCATATATTACATGTTATCCTAGTAGTCTCCAGCAACTGATTACAAATCAGTGAAACACAAGAACAACTTTCGACATTTGCTCAAATTAAGACCATGCTCACGCATAACCCTTCCGGGCACGAATTAATTCGGCCAAGCGTTTTATTACATCACCAGTGTGTGCAAAATACAACTTGCTACACAACTGACACAGATTATACGAAGCGTGTTAATTACAAAAAATAAAATTCGACTAGAGGGATAGTGAAAGAATGAGAGCGCGCTAGTCGTTCTTTCTGCAAAAAGACTGCTTGTTTTCCTCCCGTTCATTAGAACATACAAAAACTGCGAAATATGAAAGCGTTTTTTTCACATTATATCACTGTATTCTAAAGGCTAACAATATCGTTGTTGTAACTATATTTTTGCTGCATTAACGCTTTGAAAGTGTGGACGAAAATTATTCCATTATGTTCTGAAATACGATCGCTTATTATATTACGTAATGACAGGAACGATGACTATGTTGACATTTCTATCCTCCTTTCTCATTCGTACCCTCACATTTCTTTTTCCATAATATTGTTTATTTTTTATAAATTAAATTCGAAGAGCTTTTTACTTATACGTGTAGTTTTAAGCTTATTACCTCCAAATGTTTCACTACTGTGGGATGGTTGTTGTTTTTATAACCATTCATCGCAACATCTCTAAAAAGCGAAGAATCTTTATGAGACAGTTACAATCTCCAAAAAGCAGTGGTTCGACCATTTGAAATAATATTATATTGGTCCGAATTTTCAGATGTATAATTTCAGCTTTGACAGTGGTTCCAGAAAATTTCTACTACCAAACACTCGAGATGATTTTTTCACGTGCATGTCACTTCCCTACGCGAAGGTCTAAGATAAAGTAAAAAATGTAAAAATAAAGTAAAGTTAATGTTTAGAGAATGTCATCCTGATAGCTAACATTTTCTATTCTATATAAATTTTCAGACTTAATAAATGGTTAGTTTGTAATTTAGATAATATAATCGAATAAATGATTGATAATGTACTCTAAAAAATTACTGGACATTGTGAATGTGCACTGGATAACAAAAAATATTCTAATTCCTAGTGTAACATACTTTAGCGTACTATATGTATTGCAACCCTTACCACTCAGCTTTATTTCCGCCGAACGGGGTTCATCAATTGTCCGTGATACCCTGTCTGGGCGCTGACAAGTGTTTATAAACTGCGTGAATCTACCTTGACTATTCGTTAATTCTACAACCCTAAATTACAGCATTCGTAAGTGGACGCAGCGTGTGTGGTATCTTTACTCGATTGTAAAAATTTAACACGTAATTCTTGAATAGTATTTTTATTCCCAAAATACAAACAACAATAAAATTGAACACCACAAAGACACAATTTCCAACAATTCATATGACACTTAATAGATTTAGATAACCAACACTACCTTCATGCTCAGCAGCAACACTAAGATTTTTAATGGCCATAGTTAAATCTCAAAATTTGTAGATCATCTCATTTCCTAGGGTGGACCTTTCTATCAAAAGTTTTTCACAGTCATGGACTTACTTTAGGTGAGATCCATATATACAAAATTCCATCTGAACACAAAATACGTTTTTCAACAATTCAATCTCGCACTGATCATTTCCATTTCAATGTCAAGAATATTTCAACTTACTTACTTGGCCTTTTTAGCCGACCTCAATCCACCTAATGGTTGCTCAAATTAATGTTCTTGTACAAATTCAAATTATTTTACACCACTTGAAATTTAGATACTCACTTAAATATTAAAAATATTTACAGTTTCAACAAATGATTCACCCCATTTGAATTTACTATACTAATGTCCCATTAATATGCAATGAATCCCAGAGAGACCCATTTGCGTAAAATCAATGGTCTGTTCTATTAATATTCGTTCAAATAGATTTTGTTCATACTATCAAATGTTACATGGTTCATTATAATACCTCCCTTACTATTTATTTCCTTGAACCCGTATAAAAGGTGTCGACCTTCCTTGGACACGGCTGGCTACACTATTAGCGTCTCGCCTCCATACTGTTGTACAGGAATACAATAGATCAGCCTTTTTGAGAAAATCTTGTTTTTGTTATTTTCTTAAATTGTACTAAATATTGCGGTAAAATGACTAATTTCTTAAAAATGTACATGACCTTCATTAAAAAACTATGAACAACGAATTTAATATGAAGAAACAATATCTATCTTTAGTTTTGTAGTAGGAAGCCGCCGAAAAAATACAAACTTTTATTTTTTTTTTTATATTCGGAGTTAACAGTGAAAATCGGACATTTGCCGCACTTATAATATTATTTTTTTCAGTTCTTACAAGAAAGTTAAAGAAAAAGTTTGGAACCATTTTTGAGAGAATTTTGAAAATGTCCCAGGGGCTTTATATAAAGTATCTTCAAATTGTAAAGAATGGTTATCAAAATCGCAGCGCTTTGAGTCAAGCCAGATTGACTGGAGAATATCCATTTTGAAGAAATCCTTCGCGTGGTTTAGGCGGTTTTAAAAAAACACTTTTTCGGTAACAAGGGACCTCAAAACGTGTATTTCCGTTGAAATCTCGAAATTGGTTTTCCGTGTCATTAGATATTACGAATATTACACCAAATATACGTACGTCGACGAGAAAGTAA